TTGGTGTGTGTTATTCTTTTCTTTTGTAAAACGCGCCGGGTGAATGTTCTCATTTCACGAAGCACAAAATAACAAACGCACGAAACACGTGAACTACAGTCCGGATGGTTGTCACAAGCGCAGAGACACTCAAACCTGCGCTTCTAAACAAGAAAATGCTGACAGATCACAAACATTGCTTATGATATGAATAAATAAATACTCGACCGTCTTCCAGTAAGGGGTATACTGGTTGGCGTGTCGGGCTCACTGTCTAATGTGCGGTCGAAGGTTCGAGCACCACTCGGTCATCTTTTTACTTGTCGTAGTGCTCATATTTATCCATCTTTACAGTCTGCGCGTGAGTAAATCGCTCATAAACAACTAAAACGACCAATTTTGGCCCGAGTTCTGCTGTTTTTTTTTTCGTTTTTTTTTTCGAGAGATGTATTACTACTTCTTTCGATGGGGTCATGCTACTCTGCTTCGGGCAGCGCTATATTACACTGTTGATGTGGAGTACTTTGAACCTCTCTGAGGGAATCACTATATACCCTGCATCATGGTCGCTCTGGAAAAGACAGTGAAGTAAGGGCCTAGAACTCTTTTAGTTTCTAGAGATATACAGATGTAATGTCGGGCAATGAAGCGCGTTAATCTACGTGTACTTCAAACACTCAGTGCATGACATCTTTTAGCGCAAGTCGATATGATAATCGCACGTACTGAGGCCCAATGGCAATGTACGCTGGTGCCACGCACTATTGCTGCAATGGTTGATGTCGTATTGCGAAGCATGAACACAGGACGCGTGAGTTTGCAAAAGATAAAGTTAATTTTACTGCATTTCTGAGCAGGGGAAGCTATTTTCGCTGAATTCCCAAGTGGACGTGTGGCAGCTTGGGCTAGTATGGCATGACGATAGTTATAGCGCGAGAACAAAACGACGACACAGAGACAAGAAGGATTCTCAGTGTCGTCGTTTTGTTCTCGTGCTATAACTGACACTTCTTGTCTCTGTGTCGTCGTTTTGTTCTCGTACTGTAACTATCCGAAGTGGACGTGTGGTAGAGAACGTCTGCTGTCCCCGCAGACGACTCGAGGTCCAAACGACTTGGGTTCCATCCCCACTGTGACCTGGAATTTTTGTTATCATTTATTTCATTTACATCGTTCTCGGTGTTTCGGTCACGCATAAGATGATTTTTCGCGCACAACCAACGACGCCTAAGCCGGAATTTCTGCGAAACGAGCTCTTCAACGCTCCCGCGCGTCACGCAATGCTAACGCGTGTGTGATTTCATGCCTCCCACCCACTGCAAAGGCTGAACGTTCATTCTTCATCGTTATCAGCCGCAAGCAACATTTACAAGTGCACACTGTACTAGACACCTAGGTGTCTAATTATTTATTTTCATCTCTCCCGCTCTTCAGACTTTGTTTTTTGCTGTATATCTGTTCTGAGTACATTTTTTTTGTGTCGAATTTATGTATTTATGCTTTACGTAAATGTACGTACTGGGTATTGCACATTGTGGTCATAGGGGGGAAGGGGGGGGGGGGGGGTTGATGCGTCGTCAGACACTCTAGTTGCCTTTTCATCGCCCCTTCCGATTCGACAGCTGGATAAGTGATGTATGTTTGCAATGATAAATAAACTTCAACTTCAACGATATTATACAGATGTGTAGCGGTTACCTCGCTTATCCGCAGAAAAGACGAATACTGGCGTAGTCGGTGCTGTCCTGTTTGATTTATGTTTTAGTCGACGCGTTGCAGAAAGCCAAAACTTCAGGAACGGTACGTTGGTCTTGTCAGGCAGTAGTCATCGACGGTTTTTTTTTTTTTTTTTGCCTGCCTTCAGTTAACAACGCTCCGCAAATACATGGCATATGTTGTCAGCGGCTCGCCATATTTACTTCACATTGGCTTCTTCAATACACCTTTACTAATATCTGGATGGTCAATCGTTCATTCGCGGTTCGATGAAGTGTACCTTATTAGTAACGGATTATCCTTAAGAAGCTGGCACTAAGCACTGAGCTTTTTCCTCAGGAATGGCTTCAGGTCCATTACAGGGACAGATTGTATAAGCGTAATGTAAAAGATTACAAGAAAGATTGGAGATACACACCCGAAAATTTGACAAATACATACACTGTATAACTACCATTCCCATATTATTTGAAAGATTGCAGCACTGGCGCGAGTAATTTTCGTTGGAACACCTTTCGTCTTAGTTTTGTCCAGCTAAAAAGCTCGCGGATGTTCGCAGGCAGAGCAAGCGAGTGCGGGACTGTCGGCCAGTGCGTGCCCTTTTTTTAAATAACGTGGCTTCCGAAATTACGTGAACTTAATCTCGGAGGCCATAATCGGGGCGAATCAGTTCTCCGAAAACCCGATAGGTGGGGGAAGTGTCGTTGCAGCTTGGCAGCACGCCGTCAATACCGTCACCTTGTATGCTCATAGTATCCGTTCGTGACTGGTCGCGCAACACAGGACAAAAGGCAAACGGACACCCCAGGCAGGCACGTGGGAGTGTCCATTTGTGGCCATTATGTGTCCGCGTGTGCGTTGCGCTGCCAGTCAAGAATCAGTACCAGCTCGCCCAATCGTCACTGCTGTTGCTCCCAACACCTATCTGTTTATCCGAAAATAAAATGACAACTCAAGAGCAGACGAAAATCGATAACATAACCAGGAATTCAGTAGAATGCAGCTCGAGTGGGCGCTAAATGAATCGTCTACTCGAAGCACACGTACACACTGACTCTGCCCAATGAGCTCGCGCATGATAGAATTTATAATTGATTCGGAAAGGCCGGGAAGAAAACGTTGGTTTTATATACGTTCGATCCCCGCGCATTTACCTGTTAAATTTCTTCAACTGCGAATTTCATGTAGGTTTCTTCATGCAGTGTTGTGGCTCTGCTGGTGATAAATGTATATGTTTTTTTTTTCGTGGGGTTTTGTTACGGTTAAACGATCCCAAATGTGTAGTTAGTGATCACGGTACGTTGCCGCTGCTTGGCAACAAGCTCGAAAAGAACATAGCGGATAATTTTAATGACTACTAAGCCTGTTGTAGTACTAATGTAATACATATTGGATCTGATGACCACAAGCAAAGCCTATCTATCTATCTATCTATCTATCTATCTATCTATCTATCTATCTATCTATCTATCTATCTATCTATCTATCTATCTATCTATCTATCTATCTATCTATCTATCTATCTATCTATCTATCTATCTATCTATCTAGTTAGCTAGCTATCTACTAGAGTGTACTCTATATCAACCCAAGCAAATGTCTACTAAACGTTCATTTTACATCAAAAGCCATTTTCAACGCACATAGGCGCGATAAGCACGGCAATATTATAGTGCAGAGATGCGCAAAATAAATTCTCCGGCAGTATCACTTTCGTGCATGCAAATTGGCCTCCGAGTAATGGTTTATATCAAGGTGTCCATAAAAATTCGTTTTCCGTTGAAAGATCGACACTACTTGCCGCATTCAGAGAACCAAACAAGGCGCATCCCGAGTTGGAATGTGATCAAACGATGCCACGTAAAAGCCTGCAGGTTAGCAATAGAAAACAAATGAAAATTTATCCTCAATCTTATTACCATAGAGCGAAACAGAGAGCTAATAATTCGTATCAAACTAACAAAACAAAACAGCTGACGACAAGCTGAGCGCGCACGCGAGAAAGGGTGTTCGACGAACGCGGGTTTTACCAATGAATGATGGGATTTGCGTCACAGCACTTGCACGACGTGGACATTTCGCAGCAGGCGCGATGAAACCTCACGCTATATATTCTCTCGCGTTGCGAGCCCAAATTATCGCCTAGAATTGATCTCTGCATGCTGACATTGAATTTTAGAAAGTGAAATGATGAAGCCACGCATACTGAGTTTTAAAATGCCCAACGTCTCAAAGCAGCGGGAACCGAAACAAGCTGCTGGCAACAGTGCGTTCAACACGACACGAGCGCCGTCTACGCAAGGCCAGCGCACCGGTTGTTGTATCGCAGGTTGTATCTTTTGGCGCGGAGCAGCGTGTCATCATCTAACCGCTAGTGTGCCTCGGGTGCCTGTAGCACATGGGAGCAGAAGCATGGCCGACGAACTAGTGTTTATTACTGCCAATTCGCCTGTGATAGTGCTCTCTGCTGTCATCGGAGTCCTTATTCTTCTGATCATTCTCGTGGGAAGCCAGAAGAAGGACGATGTCAAGAAGCAACCTTCGGCAACGAGTGAGTAACGCATCGTGTGCGCTGGCTTTCCCCTTGGCACCACGCTCGACCGGCGGGCGTGCGAGGACGCATCTGTGCTTTGCCGCTGACGTGCGGCGTATTCTTGAGCAAGCCGCGGCGCTTTGCATTTGCATGAAACCCTTCGGGAGCTAGCCTACTTCGTCGCTGTTAGCATTGTTGCTCGCTCGTGGACGAGGTGCCCCACTTCTCCGTGCCGGCTTCGGACCCCAACCGGCCCAACCGCTTGCGTGCACAAAGGTGGTGTCGTCGGGCTCTAGTGCCCTGTGAGTAACGTAATTCCCGGAAATAGTTGCACTACGCTACAAAGACGACGACGATGAAGCCAAGTTAGGGATTTTACGGAAAACCTTTAGTGGTGAGCATGAATGCTTGGCAGTTTTGCCGTACCACGGCCGCTTGCCGTACCTTCCCTTCGATCGCCCGCCTTTTTTTTTTTTTTAGCCTCGGCTTCCTCCCAACCGATGCCACCGATCGAAGCTCGGCGCATTCGGCTACCCCGACTTTAAGCTAGCCTTTGCTCGCTCAAATTTTGTTGCGGCTGAAGCATAGTTCGACGTTGGAGTTGCACGTGAGCTGCGAAGTGATGCCACTGTCTCCGCATTCTACATTGTCTACGCGTGTTACGGTCCGTTGATTCGGCCGGTCAAGTACTAGTGCTTAGCTTGTCTTTTTTTTTTTTAACCTTTGTTCATCAGCGAATCGCAAGCCTTCCGCCGGTTGACTGTGTTGGAAGAAAGCGCAAATACAAATTAAGCAAAAAAAAAAAAGTACATGCGAACTGACGGGGGTTGCTTGGAAGCGTCAATGAACGAAGGGGGGGTCCTTGACTTCGACGTGCTGTCCGCGAGCAAAAACAGGAACATAATGTAACTCCCGCACACCGGTGAACCCCTCAGCCGACGTTTGCAAAAGAACCGCGGAGGCGGCGCATTTCGCGGAGGAGGAGAAACGATGACGGGATATCCGTGCAGTGACCGCGAACCAGGCTTGCCAGCGCCGCTGGCTCGACCCCCTCCTCCCCCTCCCGGTATTACCCGCTCCTTGGAGGATAATGCGTCACACGAGTGAAACAACCGTCTTGATTTATTAAGAAACTTCGCAGCGGTGACGCTTGGCGCAACGCCGCCGCCTCTCTCCGCACGTCGAGTTTGTGTGGGCAAGGGAGAGCGCTCCTCTCAGTGTGGTTCGCTCTGTCGTCTGCTCGCGCGGCCAGACGGATAGCGTACCTTCGTCCGCGCTGGATCGCCACGACTCTATCCGCAGGTTTGGACAAAAGGCAAGCTCTAGATTTCTAATTAGCGCTGGTTTCGTCGCTTTTGACGACGCGGTGGCTTTTCGGGCTAGCTTGGGCACACCGCGGTGATCGTGCGGGCAACGCAATTGGACCTAACCCGGTTTCATTTGCGAGTGTTTTTGGCGCGTGGAAGGCCGCACTTGGGATTGAGGTCATTGTCAGTCCAGCGCAGCCGCGCGCGTGGGGATCCTGCTTCTTTTCGGTCTTGTCTACGAGAAAGCGAGAGAGAAAAAAAAAGAAACGGTAGTGGTTCTTAAAGAAAGGCACCTAATTTCTGTCGGCGATAAGGCGACACGGTGGTGGGATGATGTGCTCTCACGTCTCTCTTCTTTTTTTTTCTGGACTCTCTCACTCCTTCGTTTGTGTTGCTTTCGGTGACCTGAAAGCCCCCTTTCGAGCAGACCGTCGATCATCTGTTCTTGTTTTAGTCGAAAAGCGCTTTCTTTTTGTACCGTGCCCCCTCCCTCTCTCTCTCCGGTAAACGGCTCCGGATACGAAACCAGTAGTGTGAACCCGGGGAGAAGAGCAACCCCCCCCCCCCCCCCCCCCCCCCCCCCCCCCCCCACCGTTGTCTCTCTTGTGCACCGCGTCGTTAGAATGCGATGTACTTGCGCGTCGTGCAGTTTGTGTGAAGGCGAGTTGTCTGTTTCCTGGGATGTTAGAGATAAAGCCTTAAAAAAAGGAAATGCCCTTGGAATAAAAATTAAGTTAAGCAGTCGTTGTCGAGAGATAAGGACCCGCGACTACGTGGAGGTAGACAAAAGCTACGTAGACAAAAACAACTCTTCAACAATCGCGGTAGGGACACGTCAGCTGGTGCTTTTTTTTTTCTTTTATTTCCCGGTAACGTGTCAAGAACCGCACCGCAGGACGGAGTGACTAAGCACTTTATGCTGCCGAAGTTCACCATCTGTAGAGGAACAGAAGCCCCCCCCCCCCTCTCTCATTCTCTCTCTCTCTCTCTTTAGCCACATGAGACTGAGTACTCCTTGCAGTTGCGTATATAAACAAGTTCGCCTGTCCGATTTCGGTAGTACGTTCACGTCTCGGGCCCAGGAATCCCCAGTGCGTGTGTCGTGCATGCGGATGTGGCTATCTGTGAGGCGCGCGTGCTTGTACGAATCGAGCTTTCCTGTAAACCATGTAAATTTGGCTCAGCTCAGGGTAGGAGACCCACTTTTGCTTGGACATCCCGTAAGTAACTTGCTTTTTTTAAAGGGACGGCGGTGTCCGATACGAAATGACTTTACGGAAGAGCTAGTGTTTTTTTTTTCTAGTTTTCTGTCTGGGAGTATCAGACATCTGCATAGATACCCGAAAATAGCGTTTGTAGTGCGTGTTGTTCTGCCTCGCCCTGATACGATGGGGCGCAGTGACTCATGCTTATCTGTATATATTTTGAGGACAGAAAAAAAAAGTGGGACAGAGCTGATCTGTTGGCAAATCTGAAACGACGCAAGCTGCAGCGATGCTTTCTATTAGACGCTTTGTTTGTTTGCTTGCATTTGTAGCTATCGCTGGTTTGGAAGCGTGGTTGAGTGTGTGTAGTTTACAAACGAGACTACATATCATGTCACTTGTATCGGGTGTGCGCCTTTACAAAGGGAAAGGGGAGGAGGGGTGATGTTGAGTTTCTTGGTGACTGGGCTTATCGATTGAAGAAAAAAAAAAAAGACTGGTCGTCGGGGATTACAATAGCATCTATTTCGGTGAGCAGGCGTGTAAGGCTATTGTTAAATTGCAGTCTGCTAGCCACTATCCTCGACTATAGGGTGGTCAGTGGTCAACGCATGTTGGTGATGGTTGCTTTTGGAGTATGTTCATGCGCACTTCGAATCAGCTTGGAACCGGAGTTTGTACGAAATCGTTATGCCGTGAGTGCGTTTGCTCTTGCCGATGCTCTCATCGCTTTCGATTTTCCGTTATCCGCTGTTTTAAACGCGGAAATGCCGTATTCCATCAAACGCGTGCCCTTGGATGATGCAAGTAGGAAGCGAGCGAAAGCTGTCACGTGGTGCGATGTGCAACTCGCAGATCGGAATTCAGCTGATTAGCTTCGCGTGCTGGTTGCCAAGTGGCAACAGCGCCGGGTGTGGGTGACTCACGAATTGTTCGCAGATGCTTCGTGGCGCTTGTATATATATGTATAGAGTGACCTGCCTGCTTTGTCTTCTATAGAGCACGTAGGCAGGCACTTTCCGCGTAAGAGCGGAGCTTTTGTATGCCCAATACGCTGAAACATCTATTGGGCTGACGCAGTGAATTCGGTACGAACCTGAACATACGTAAACGAAAGCCACGCTCGGGGCCTGTCCACGTGTCGGGCGTAGGTGAGCTGCATCTATTTGCTCGTGGACAATTTCGGGAAATGGTTAATTTTTGAGCTAGTTCGTTTTGCATCACCGAAGAGATGAAAACTCCCGGCTGCGTTACGTTTAGAAAAAAAATCTCCCAGATCTTCAAAAACGAATCGTGACTATTTCACAAATGTGTGTCTCGTACCGTGTCTACGGTACACGATGCTCGTAATTTTACGATTTTCCTCGAGGTATTCTGAGTATAGTGGACAGCTGCAAGAAAGCGTAGCTATTCGATCGTAGCTACTTGCAGCGTAGTGATCGCGGGCTCTCTTGTGTTTGTCGCGGCGCAGCCAAGGAAAAGGAAACGGTGCTTCGCAAGGAGGTGCGAGCCGTGCCAAAGAAGAAGAAAGTGCAGGAGAAGAAGCGTGACTTGAAGGCCCCGTACTTACATCCGTGGCTAATGACGACCCTAAAGGGACACAGCGGCTCCATACTGGACCTGGACTTCAACGGCAACGGCAAATACCTGGCCACCTCTGCTGATGGTAAGTTGAAGGCCTGGCACATTTTTTTTTCAAGTTCAAACACACCTTCTTTGTTTGGTTCGAGGTAGCGCTTTTTTTGCTTTCACGTGGTGTCTAGAATCTGAATGGTGCCGTCGTATAGCTTTATTTGCTTTTAGAGTAAGTACAGCAACAACAAGGCAGACCTGGTGCGGTATTCTGTTTGACTCCAGTAACTGGGCTGTTTCATTTCAGTATGCTTTGATTGGATGTTTATGACGGGAGCTTGTCGCTGTACGGCACCAGCCGTGATAGCCGGCTCTGAGTTACATCTTATCAGAGTACACTGTAACGGACGGTGTACTTCCAACAGGACGCCATTCCTGGATGCTCTGTCGAGGCCATGTGCAGGCTGATACTGCAGGGCTGTAATGACTCGAACCGACGCCGCTGAATCAAATCACTGCTAGGTTTACTTATGTTTCTCCCAGTTCTGCAGGGGCAATCGGGCATCTCGCCTTGGCTCTTCGCTAAAAAGAAAAATAAAAGAAAATGTAAGCTATGCTATAGGTTTGGCGACAAAGCTGAACCGCAATACCGCAATATTGCAGTTCTGTGAAAGACATTTAAAAAGCTGAAGTCCTAGCATAGTATGAAAATGCTCGTAGATTGGTAGCCATAGATATGGGCTCTCTTATTCTCTCTCTGAGGACGCGTTTCCTTGTGACCTCCTTCTGAGAAAGTAACAGTAACAAAGCCTATAGCTACTGCTATTCACCCTCGCTTTTTATCCGAGCTGTAGAGAACCCTCATCTTTCCCTTCCCCTTTTTTTACTACTTTGCGCACGTGTGTGTGTGTGGCTGTGTGTGTATGATGGCATCCCAACGTGCATGATGCGTGGCTGGGCGAGGGTTGCCAGGGTGTGGGAGGTATGTGCAAGTCGCTGCGTCGTCCGGTCCAGGAGCCGGAGATCCTTTGCTTTCTTCCTCTTCCTTGCGGTGCTGGCACTGTCTTTGTCTCCATGTGCTGGAGCGGCCGTCCTCCTATGGCTGTTAAGAGTTTTAGCGCATAGCGCTAGTGAGAGAGAGAGAGAGAGATAGGGAGCCCCGCGGGTCTCGCCGCCTTGAGCGCGCGGGAACCATGTCGAGAGTGAATCCCGACCGCACTGTTTTTGTTGTCCATCTTCCTTCCCGGAGGTCGCTCGGCCCAGCGTGCCATCCAGGGCCCGAACATCAACAACCAGCACAGCTGTCACAAGACCTCCTCCGCGGGACGCACTACCCCGTCCCGGAGTCCCCCGAGCCCGTTGGAGGGCGCCTGGCGCCTTCCCGTGTGCGCCGACGACTTGTACCACCAGCTGCTGCGCTACAGGCTGACGCCGCAGGAACTGTACCGCTGCGGCTACCCGCGGCCCTGCCCCGACGAGCCCGGTCGCGCCGTGTGGCTGCAAGCGGACGCCGCGACGGCCGACTCTAGCCGCAAGACGTGCTGCCGCTGCGGCTCCTCGTTCGTGATCACTCCGGGCGGCGAGTACTACGCCAACGACGTGTGCACCTTCCACACGGGCCGCCGGGGCCTCGCCGAGTTCTCGTGCTGCGGCGCGACGGGCGACGAACCGGGCTGCGAGCGGTCCGACTACCACGTGTGCGCCCAGGGAGCGCGCGGCGAGTGCGACGCGCCCGCGAGGGGCTTCGTGCGCACTCGGCCGCGGCACGGCGTGGCCGGCGGCGTGTACGCGCTCGACTGCGAGATGTGCTTCACCATCCGCGGACTCGAGGTGGCCAAGGTGAGCGTGGTCGGCTCGAACGGCGCCACCGTGTACGACTCGTACGTGCGGCCGGGCAGTCCCGTGCTCGACTACAACACGGCCTTCAGCGGCGTGACGGCCGACCACCTGCGCAACGTGCGCACCACGCTGCAGGACGTGCAGGCCGTGCTGCTGCGCCTCTTCACCGCCTCGACGGTGCTCGTGGGCCACGGCCTGGAGAACGACCTGCGCGGACTCAAGATCCTGCACGACACCGTGGTCGACACGGCCGTCGTGTTCCCGCACCACCGGGGGCTGCCGTTCCGTCGGTCGCTGCGCTCGCTCGTCGGCGCGTACCTGAACCGCGACGTCCAGGACGGGACCCGGGGCCACGACAGCGTGGAGGACGCGCGCGCCTGCATGGAGCTCATGCTGTGGAAGGCCAGCCGGGACCAGAAGCTGCGGGAGCGACGGAACCGCGGAGGCGGAGGGCGCCTCCTGCAGCCGTCCTTCTAGCCGTTTCTTGTGGTGCTTCGCGCGCGCGTGTGTGAGTTGGAAGAAAGTGTGTGGACTGTTTCGTGTGGACGACACTCAGTGCGCGGGGCTCCATCTATTTCACTCTCTCTCAACAAGACCTGCTATCTCTCTCCCTCTTTATGAAGAAAGACAAGGATTTGTGTCCGCGACGCCAATGCACACTGCCATGATGTGACGCCTGCTCCCCATAAGCGGATCTATCCTATCGGCGGCTTGTTCTACCTGCACGCGCCCGGCTGGTCTGTGTGTGTGTTTTTAAGAAAAAAAAAATTAAGGACGTGCCGCCGTGTTTGGACTGGACCATTGAGACGGAGCGGTGCTACCGAACCACGGTTGTGAAAAAAAAAAGTGTCACTCTTCGGACTTTTTTTATTGTTATATTTTTTCTATGAAGAACCAAATGGGGGACTGTCGTGTCTCAGTGTTGGTGGACGCTTGTTTGGAAAGACGCTGTTATACTTCTTGTTTTCCGCCTCGTTTTATTTTTTTTATTTTTCTTATTCGTACAAAGTAAAAACAAAAGTCTTTATATGACTCAGGAAGAAAAGAGAGCGTCTTTCCAATTATATATAAAAAATCATATTAGGGAGGAGAAGACGGAAGCCGAGACTAGCCGACAAGACCGCGCATCGACCATCTTGTACAGTCTTTTATTTATTGTCACGTGCCCATCGTCATGCTGTCATTTTACACGTGCGGCTGGGTCTCGTGCAGCTTGCGGATCTTAATTTATTGATATGTCCGTTCTTTTGTAATGTTTTTTTTTTACTGCCATTAAAAGGAAAATATTTTTTTTCCTCGGCGAGAAACGTATCTGTTGTACGGGACTTTCTCTCTCTCTCTCACGCGTGTCGCGCATGCAACTGCCGACACTGCAAATCAATCGACTGTGCACATACCTTCGCATCCTGTTTAAGTGTTTGACAGTTGGGTGCAGTGTTGCATCATGTGCATGCTTACAAAGTGGTGAATAGGATGCCACGCTCATGGACTGCTGGTTTGCAAGTTCCGTGCTTCCAGGATCGATCAAGCTAGAGCTCACGTATAAGGCCGGCCAAGCTCTATGGTTTGAATGAGGCTGCAGTGCTGGTGAAACCTTTGGTAGTAGAGACTAGTTGGTCTGGGGTTATTAGAAAGTCAGATCAGCTGGAATGAACACTGACACACTTAGGCGGGGCATGCAAGATCAGTCCTGTCCTTGTATGCTTAGTATTTGTGTGTTCGTCTTCATTCGTGCTAAGTTTACCTCGTCATAATGGTGGAACTTGCGCTGGCTTAATGATGTCTTGTTGTGTAGCTTAACAATGATGTCATGTTGCCGAGTGTTGTGTCGGACCTGTAGGGACTGGTCTTTCGTCTGCGTGTTCAGCAGCTTCTGGCTGTGTCATATCTTCTGGTGTTTACCAGTTAGCTGCAAACTTGGTGCTTGGCCATCAGAAGCAGTGTTTTAGCTGGGCTGGTTTACCGCGTGGTATGCGCGGAAATACCGTACCGTCGTGGTGAACGCGCAGCTTTTCTTTTGAAACTTTTCATCCGCGCTCGTTTCTCATTGTGCACAGCAACGTGATGAGATGTGGTCAAGGAAGGTGTCTGTAGATGTGTTGTAGACTAAAAAGAAAAAAAAATCTGCATGCCTTCCACGATGGCACGGTCAACCAGCTTTGCTAGAAGATCCCAATGCCTCAGTCTTTGTATTCCCGTTGTTACTAGTGCAGTAGTACTAGGCTGCCTTGCACACATTCCAGTGAGCCGTATGATAGGCAGATCATAGATATGTTTTAGTACAGAAACCACTCGGTATCATAACGGCGGGGTTAACGAAATCGCGAGATCAAGCTGCAAGACCGCCAGTCTTGTCTCTAGGGTCAGCGAAGGACTTCGGTGAAACAGCGGGGGGGGACTTTTCTCATCTCGCAGCTGTCGTAAGCGACTCTTAGCGCATGTTCGAGGAAAAGTCGTTGCCACGGCTAAAAAGGTATTGACTCACGCCTTGGAGCTCTTCCCAAAACGTTGCCACAGAGTGGGCTCTCTGGCGTAGCGCCCTATCGCAACTGGATGCGTTGCGCAACAGTCGTAATGAAGCGGCCCTTGCCGCTTTCTACGCGTTGAATGTAGGGGACGATCCGCGCCATGACCAACAAACTTCGACCGCGCAGGAGTGTAGTTAGCGCTCGTGGTGGCGTTCTCTTGTACCTGCTGTTTCAGTAATTGCCAATGTCTTGTTGAATGAATTGTGGCCTTGAAAGCTTTTGAATACAACAATGCCATATTGGACAGACAGACAGGCATAGAACTTTATTATGGTCCCGAGGAACACTACCTCAAGGAGGTAGAGCAGCGTGACGCTCCCACGTCGGAATGGGCAGGCCGAGCCTCACTGTCGTGAGCCCTCTGGACAGCCCAGAGTTGATGTCCAAGTTCTGAGCTCCTGAGTGCAGAGCTCCATTCCTCTTCGGTCATGTGCCGAGAATCGCGTGATGAGGGGCACTGCCAGAGCATGTGTTCTAACGTAGATACGGCGCCACAATCTGCGCATGTTGGATTAATGCTTTCAATAAACTGGCTTTGGGAACGAAGACTGGGGTACGACCTGGTTTGAAGCATGCGGAGGGTAGATGCCTGGGCCTTGGAAAGTTGCATATGAGGAAGGGGCAAAATCGTTCTGTCCAGCTGATAATGTTTGGTCACCTCGTTGAAAGTGAGGAGAACATCCCTAAGGACCATTAGGTTGGAGTCTGAAGGCCCCGCAGGCTGCCCAGCACGGTGAGTAAGTTCGCGTGCTTGGGCGATCTCTTTTAGGTTTGCTATGGAGGCCAGATGTGATCCAAGGCTATATAAGTAGAACAATACTGCTGGCATGCATAACAAAAAAAAAAAAAAAAAGAAGCGTGACTGCAGACTGTGTGCTTCATGAAAGTTTGGTGTAAAGTAGCAGTTCTAGCATATGGTGTACGCATAGCCTTGCGTCAGCGTACAACGTCAATGCGTCGTACGCTAACCTGTTCGATATACACGTTAAGTTATGAAAATACCGCTATGTACGAACTCTCTCCTAAAACTGCCTAATGAGTCTGGAACGTCGATATCACGACAATGTGGTTTTTTTTTTACGTAATTGACGCCCGAGATCTGTACACGTACTGTACCCCGAAACGGGCTGAGTAACACGTTTTTTGGCGACCGAAGCGTCGTCGTTCACAGGAATCGCAGAAGCAGAAAAATGTTGCGTAAGTGGCCTGACTTCGGTGGCCTAGACGTGGATTCCGTGAGTTGTAGTTGTGACACGCGAAGTTGCCATTCCGTGAGAACTTGTTTTGCAGTATTACTGCACTGAAAGATGATTTGAAAAGAAAAAAAGTGAGAAATCATATTACGAACGTGCTACTCCGCCTGGCATATGTACGAAACGAGATGTGTTTTCGAGCTGAACGGTTAAAGAGCGGCAACACGCTGTCGGGTTGGTGATTAACCGCGACTCCCTCATGGCTTTGGTAATGAATCTGCCGCTCGCTACGTAACGAGCGCAGGACGACACTTAGCAACGCCAAGGACAGCGTGCCGTAATTGAGCCAAGAGTTGCAGCTTTTCAAAAGAAAAAAAAACTCATCGTTCTCTTCGTGTAGTGGTTCGTGCGCTTGTTGCTTGGCGCGGGGCGTTTTCCTGCAAGCGCCGAGGACGTTGCATTGACTCTGCGCCTTGCGCAGACTGCGTCAACATCGAATCAAAACTCGAAAGCGCTTTGCGAGGGTGCCCGGCGCGAGTCGACCGTCTGGGATAATCCCTTGGAGAGTCCCATGCCTCATCGAAGCGGCGTATAATTGTTGCTTCACCACCGGCAAGGAAACCCGCCGAGCAGAGGAACGTTTTTCCTCGTGTTGACACCGCTCCTCCGATGAACACTCGTCACCGAACTGCTGCAGACCTACGGAAACGGCGAGACCATCGTTTCAGGTCTGCCGCGCGGGGGAGTACATCGTTCTACAGCGTGAAATCAGGGTTGTTTGGTGACTGATCATCGCATTGTACGGTGAAATCGCGCAGTTTTTTCATAGCACCACGCGGTACGGTGATGGGAGTATACACGGACTGATCTGCGCTGGCTTGGCAGTGCATTTTCGTTGTGGTCACGGATGTTTACGACAGTCTCTAGGGGATCTTGGCGGCACCCAGGGAGCCTTCGTTGATAAGGTGCGTAGTGGTGTGGAGACTTGATGCAGCGCCAAGAATCGTCGCGCTTGTCGGGCTCCGTCGACTTGTTAAGAACCACGTTGCACGCTCCCTGGCACCGCCGCCGCTTCTAATCTGAAGACGCGGTGAGGGGCACGGCTGGCGCATTTTGTGACGTCGAGCGCCGTACGCGACCTCTGGCGGCGCGCGGGAGGAGCCGGTGGCGCTGCTAAGGAGACCGCGATAGGGAAGCCTACGCGTAGGCTCCCTAGACCGCGATAAAGCCCCTAAAACCCCTAAAAGCCCCTAAAAGTTTGCTTCTATGCCTAAAACTTCGTTTAGACCGCGATAGAGTGCCTCGATGTGCTCGTTCGCCTCCGCGGCGCGCGCAGCGAGACACTTTTGACTACTCAAGACCGCGAGGCCTTTCGTCAAAAGCGCGGCGGTGTCAGATGTCAAGGCGTGTAGCTCGAGTGACCATCAGTTAATATGTTCACCATCCGCGTCGGCCTCGTCGGTTCCTTTCAAGTATGCCTCGTGGTTAACGGCTATTACAGGGCGTACTAATTAAACGCTGCCTGTAAATAATTAAAGGGTGCGCTAACGATCGGAGCACGATGAGGAACACGTGAAAGACTGTCCCCCATTACAGCTTTTCCCCCCTTCTATTTCTTCATTAGGCTTTCGGGCGTTTCGGTCTTCTTCGGGGGATAAGACACTACAGTTGAACGACATTCTGTCCAGTGCTTGCAAACATGCCGGAATGCAAACACGCTACGCCGGTTCGCCTAGTCGCATTTCCAATGAAAAATAAACCCCGTTTCCTGCGTCATTTTTTTGTATTTTTTTACATGCGAAGCCGATCCATCACTTTCGTTGGAAGCATTGAATGGCGCTTCGTAAACGTGACAAAAGAGTGTTCTCTTGTAGACATTTACAAGAGCTGACCCAAATAGTCCAGCTTTTGTGTGCACGTGTGTCTCGTTGCTCAGTCTGAAATGCGTGTGTACACCCTGACGGGCAACAGTGTGCGCTGTCGTATTGTTCGTTCTTGGTTGCAAACACTCGTTCGGAATTTTGCAGGCGCACTAAACATTAATTCACTGTTCAACGTGGGCAGCCGTTTCACAAAAGGCTGTTCCGGCGTTCCGCTAACTCTCGGCAGCCTGCAACAACTCCACGAATAGGGCTTCAGTACGAAACCCGGAAGGGTGTCGAACCAGTGGCGTTCACACTCTGCGCGAGATGACGGGAAGCATTCAAGTGCTCGGGAATCGCGAGCACGGCGGTTGGATTTCGCCGTTGTCCGCGCCGAATGAGTCCGAGGTTTGCGGAGCAAAGAATGTCCAGCAGTGTTTTCTCCCGTCTTGCGGACACAGAGCAGGCGCAGGACACTGCGAGGCGTAAGCTTTTGGTGTGTTGAGATTATATATATATATATATATATATATATATATATATATATATATATATATATATATATATATATATATATATATATATATATATATATATTGTGAGACGACGTCAGGTACGAAGGAGCGACCGTTTTATTGTCAACCCAGACGCGCGAGCCAGCAACCGAACAAGCAGCGAGCCGCTACGATGATGATGATCACGGTGCTTTGTATGCGCAGGTGAAAGTG